AATATTTGTAAGGATGACAATATCTTCTGCACAAACAAATTAAATTTCTGAGGGATAAAAATTATTATTTTTGAGTCAATTGAAAAATTACATTTCCTCTGTCTAAAATATTTTACTGAGTCAGTTTCAAAATAAGTGTGTCAAAACTTCTTAAAAACATTTTTTAAGATTACACAATTTTTTTTTGGTAAGAAAAATATATTTTAAATATTTTTCTTGTACATCGTTTGACACACAAAATAATTTTTGGACTCTTTTTCTCTCCTACTCAAATTCATTGAATCAAATTTGAGGAGCGTCCGTTGATATTCCTGTTGTCCAAAACAACGAGTTAGAAGCCAAAGGCTTCAATTGCAAACAGGCTTGGGCCCTTCATGTTTGCGCATTATTTTTTACTTTATACGATTAATTTTTCTAAAATAATCGATTAGATCCAATTTCTCAGCGCTGGATTCCTCAGGCCAATAGACTTAATCGATTAAATTTGTCCCTTTAATCGATTAGTTTAAACAGAGCAGAATAATCGATTATTCCCTCTTTTTTAATCGATTAATTCCACTTTTGGTTTTAAGCCTTTTCGCTTCTGTACACTTTAATCAATTAAAATTCCTAATTTAATCACTTAATTCTGTCTGGTGCATATCATCAGCTTTCTTCAACGGCTTTATTTTCCTCAGCCTATTTAATCCCTCATTCTCCTTCATTTCTATACACACCTCTTGCACTCCAATATATTCTTTGAACTATATTCATCCTTTGCTTCATCTTCCTCAAATATTATTTTTTAGAGTTAGAAATATTTTCTTTGAGTGCTAAAGAAGTTGTCATCCATAGAGCTTAAAATCTTCAACACTACTTTGCTGTTAACACACTCGAAAGTAAGAACACAACATTTGAGTTAGAGAAAACTCACAACAAGAATTCTGAACACACTGAGTTCAGAACAACAACATTCTTTCACTCCGAACACACTAAGTTCAAGAGTTCAACATGGCCAAAAAGTTCGTGGGCAACTTCGAACTTCTAATCATCCTGAAAGCTCAGAGTCTCTCGGAAGACTGAATTAGCCACGAGGTGGTGAACCAGTATAAATCTCGATGTTCTTCTTTCCCTTACTCTCTTTATTTATTCCTGCGATTCTATTATTTCACACACGCGAAAAACGCACATTTTTGAAAACAACTCTATTCACCCCCCCTCTAGAGTTGCACATTTGTCTAACAGATTTTACATGCAAAAAGAATATCCATGTAAATTTTTGCCTTCTTCCATAAATCTAGGTGGCAGTTTTCCCTTCTTCCTGAAACGTAACACCTTTTTCCATGGTGACACGCGTAGAAATACCTTATCACCAACACTGTATTCAATATCTCTTCTTTTTAAGTCTGCATAAGATCTATGTCGGTCTGATGCGATCTATAATCGTTCTTTGATCAATTTTACCTTTTGTTCTGCATTTCTGATAAGATCAGGTCCCACAAGCTTTTTGACATGAAACTTTTAGAAAGGATTTTACATGCATACATAAATATTCATGTCAAATTTTGCAAGTTTTTTGATTAATTTAAAATTTTGCCAAAAAATGTGATGGTACCCCCTATAACTCGAGGCCAAAACTAAAAAATTATAATTTATACATTACTGACATGTTTTTTTGACATGAAACTTTTACAAAGGATTTTGCATGCAAACAAAAATATCCATGTCAAATTTGGGAAATTTTTTGATGAATTTAAAATTTGGCCAAAAAATATGATTATATCCCTAGAGCTCGAAGCCAAAACTAAAAAAATTATAATTTATATATTACGGATGAGTCTTTTTGACATTAAACTTTTACAAAGGATTTTACATGCATAAAGAATATCCATGTAAAATTTTGCAAGTTTTTTGATTAATTTAAAATTTTGCCAAAAAATGTGATGGTACCCTCTAGAGCTCGAGGCCAAAACTAAAAAAATTATAATTTATACATTACTGACATGTTTTTTTGACATGAAACTTTTACAAAGGATTTTGCATGCAAACAAAAATATCAATGTCAAATTTAGGAAATTTTTTGATGAATTTAAAATTTGGCCAAAAAATGTGATTGTATCCCTAGAGCTCGAAGCCAAAACTAAAAAAATTATAATTTATATATTACAGACGAGTCTTTTTAACATTAAACTTTTACAAAGGATTTTAAATGCAAAAAGAATATCCATGTAAAATTTTGCAAGTTTTTTGATTAATTTAAAATTTGGCCAAAAAATGTGAAGGTACCCCTAGACCTCGAGGCTAAAACTAAAAAAATTATAATTTATACATTACTGACATGTTTTTTTGACATGAAAATTTTACAAAGGATTTTACATGCAAACAAAAATATCCATGTCAAATTTGGGAAATTTTTTAATGAATTTAAAATTTCGCCAAAAAATGTGATTGTACCCCTAGAGCTCGAAGTCAAAACTAAAAAAATGATAATTTATAAGTTACTAACAAGTCTTTTTGACATGAAACTTTAAGAAAGGATTTTACATGCATATATAAATATCCATGTCAACTTTTGCAAGTTTTTTGATGAAATTAAAAATTTAGCCAAAAAATGTGATGATACCCCTAGACCTCAAAACCAAAACTAAAAAAATTATAATTTAGACATTACGACAAGTCTTTTTAACATGAAACTTTTATAAAGGATTTTACATGCAAGAAGAATATCCATGTAAAATTTGGCAAATGTTTTGATGAAATTTAAAATTTGGCCAAAAAATGTGATGGTATCCCAAGAGCTCTAGGCCAAAACTAAAAAAATTATAATTTATACATTACTGACATATTTTTTTGACATGAAAATTTTACAAAGGATTTTACATGCAAAAAGATAATCCATGTAAAATTTTGCAAGTTTTTTGATTAATTTAAAATTTGGCCAAAAAAATGTTATGTTACCGTTAGAGCTCGAGGCCAAAACTAAACAAATTATAATTTATACTTTACTGACTTGCTTTTTTGACATGAAACTTTTACAAAGGATTTTAGATGCAAAAAGAATATCCATGTTAAATTTTGCAAGTTTTTTGATTAATTTAAAATTTTGGCAAAAAATGTGATGGTACCCCCTAGAGTTCGAGGCGAAAACTAAAAATATTATAATTTATACATTACTGACATTTTTTTGACATGAAACTTTTACAAAGGATTTTAGATGCAAACAAAAATATCCATGTCAAATTTGGGAAATTTTTTGATAAATTAAAATTTGGCCAAAAAAATGTGATTGTATCCCTAGAGCTCGAAACCAAAACATAAAAAATTATAATTTATACATTACTGATGAGTCTTTTTAACATGAAACTTTTACAAAGGATTTTACATGCAAAAAGAATATTCATGTAAAATTTGGCAAGTTTTTTGATTAATTTAAAATTTGGCTAAAAAATGTGATGGTACTCCTACAGCTCGAGCTAAAACTAAAAAAATTATAATTTATACATTACTGAGATGTTATTTTGACATGATACTTTTACAAAGGATTTTACATGAAAATAGAAATATCCATGCCAAATTTGGGAAATTTTTTGATAAATTTAAAATTTGGCCAAAAAATGTGATGGTACCTCTAGAGCTCGAAGTCAAAATTAAAAAAAATTATAATTTATAAGTTACTGAAAAATCTTTTTGACATGAAACTTTTAGAAAGGATTTTACATGCATATATAAATATCCATGTCAAATTTGGCAAGTTTTTTGATGTATTTAAAATTTGGCCAAAAAATGTGATGGTACCCCTAGACCTCAAAACCAAAACTAAAGAAATTATAATTTAGACATTACGACAAGTCTTTTTAACATGAAACTTTTATAAAGGATTTTACATGCAAACAAAAATATCCATTTCATATTTGGCAAATTTTTTGAAGAATTTAACATTTGGCCAAAAAATGTTATGTTACCGTTAGAGCTCGAGTCCAAAACTAAAAAATTTGTAATTTATACATTACTGACATGTTTTTTGACATGAAACTTTCACAAAGGATTTTACATGCAAAAAGAATATCCATGTAAAATTTTGCAAGTTTTTTTATTAATTTAAAATTTGGCCAAAAAATGTGATAGTACCCCTAGAGCTCGAAGTCAGAACTAAAAAAATTATAATTTATAAGTTACTGACAAGTCTTCTTGACATGAAACTTATAGAAAGGATTTTACATGCATATATAAATATCCATGTCAAATTTGGCATGTTTTTTGATGAATTTAAAATTTGGCCAAAAAATGTGATGATACCCCTAGACCTCAAAACCAAAACTAAAAAAATTATAATTTAGACATTACGACAAGTCTTTTTAACATGAAACTTTTAGAAAGGATTTTACATGCAAACAAAAATATCCATGTCAAATTTGACAAAATTTTTTGATGAATTTAATATTTGGCCAAAAAATGTGATGGTATCCTAAGAGCTCGAGACCAAAACTAAAAAAACTTCGGCAGATCGATCCAAGCTCTAGGATCGATCCACTGGGCTTCTGATTTTTGCAGGTACCAGTCGGCAGATCGATCCAACCCAATGGACCGATCACCTGGGCAAATCTCTCAAATCTGAATTCAGCCCAACGTCAGGAGGACCGATCCAGGCTTATGGATCGATCCATGGTTTTAATTGGTTCCAGGATCTGATTCGGCGGATCGATCCAAGCACAGGGATCGATCACCTGGACTTCAACGGTGCAGGTACTCTTTTTCGGAGGATCGATCTCCTTGGATGGATCTATCACTTTGACTTACGGTATAAATACTCTCCCTTCTTCGTTTTTACCATTTTTTCATTCGTTCTGTTATCTGCTCTGTCTCTCTCTCTCGGCGACCAAGGTTCCTCGATTCCCAGGTTTGTTTTTCGCCTCTTCTCTTCAATTTCTTCCAAATTATTTGTTAATTGTTGCTAATTGATGATTATTGTTTCTTATTTGCTCGTTTACTCGAGATTAAGTGCTTGTTCCTTTCTCTCTTAGGGTTTCTCGTTCTTCTCGTGCTCCAACCCTAGCCACCATGTCTGATCGTTGAGGCATTAAACGTTTGCGCACAAAATCTCATGACGGTGAACCATCAACCCAAGAGGAACGATTTGTCTCTTCATTTGTCTTTCCGAGAGGTGATTCTAAACGCCTCTTCTATAGTGATTTTTTGAATCGCCCTATTTTATCGCCCAAATCCGTTCTTCATACCGTATTTTGTCATTTACCATTCAATGATGCTACCATTTTCATTGATAGACTCGGTGTTACCTCTTTTGTTCGTGAAACTTTTCCTGTGTATTGTCCGAATCTAATTCGGTTGTTTTATACAAATCTCCCTTTCAACGGACGGGTCCTCAAAACCCCCATTAATGGCACCGACATTGAGATGACTCTCAAAGATATCGGTGATCTTTTCAAATTCTCTTTTGAGGGATGTGATTTCCACAAGTTCACATCTAAGGATTTCAAAACTTTTTCTTCTTACGACACAATTACCGAGGTGTGCCTTGAAGAAATTCTTGGGCGAGAACGCCTAACCGTTGGAGGTCTTAAGCCTCATTTTCGAATTCTTCATTACTTCATTTCGAAAGTATTAGCTCCTCGTAAGTCGAGCCATTCCAAAATACTTTCATCGTACACTCGTCTTCTCTTTGTGTTTTTGAACAATATTAAAATCAATTGGGCAAAATTCTTTTGCAATAACCTTATTCTCATGAACTCAAAAGGGTCTCTTGGGTATGTGTTCCCGATCATGAACATTTTGAGAGCTTTTGAGGTGCCTTTAAAAGACATCCACGTCCAAAAGAACCACACGTGGTACATCGATGTCGCTACCTTCAACCGCTCTAATGTACCAAGGGCCGTAAAAATGTGGACGAGGCCAAAACTAAAAAAATTGTAATTTATACATTACTGACATTTTTTTTGACATGAAACTTTTACAAAGGATTTTACATGAAAATATAAATATCCATGTAAAATTTTGCAAGTTTTTTTATTAATTTAAAATTTGGCCAAAAAATGTGATGGTACCCCTAGAGCTCGAGGCCAAAACAAAAAAATTATAATTTATACATTACAGACATGTTTTTTTGACATGAAACTTTTAAAAAGGATTTTACATGAAAATTGAAATATCCATGTCAAATTTGGAATTTTTTTTGATGAGTTTAAAATTTTGCCAAAAACTGTGATGGTATCCCTAGAGCTCGAGGCCAAAACTAAAAAAATTATAATTTAGATAGTACTGACAAATCTTTTTGACATGAAACTTTTAGAAAGGATTTTACATGCAAAAAGAATATTCATGTCAAATTTGGCAAGTTTTTTGATGAATTTAAAATTTGGCCAAAACGTGTGATGGTACCCCTACGCCTCGAGGCCAAAACTAAAAAAATTATAATTTATACATTACTGACATGTTTTTTTGACATGAAACTTTTACAAAGTATTTTACATGCAAATAGAAATATCGATATCAAATTTGGGAAATTTTTTGATGAATTTAAAATTTGGCCAAAAAAATGTGATGGTACCCCTAGAGCTCGAAGCCAAAACTAAAAAAATAATAATTTAGACATTACTGACAGGTCTTTTTGACATGAAACTTTTAGAAAGGATTTTACATGCAAATATAAATATCCATGTCAAATTTGACAAGTTTTTTGATAAATTTAAAATTTGGCCAAAAAATGTGATGGTAGACCTAGAACTCGAGGCCAAAACTAAAAAAATTATAATTTAGACATTACGACAAGTCTTTTTGACATGAAACTTTTAGCAAGGATTTTACATGCAAATATAAATATCCATATCAAATTTGGCAAAATTTTTGATGAATTAAAAATTTGACCAAAAAATGTTATGTTACCCTAGAGCTCGAGGCCAAAACTAAAAAAATTATAATTTATACATTAATGACAAGTCTTTTTGACATGAAACTTGTTGGGTTAAGGAACCTAAGGGTAGAGGAAGAAGGAGAAAGGTGTGAAGAAGAAGAAGATGAATAGTGTGGGTATTATGTAGTATTGAGCCTCCTTCCCTCCCTCCCCTCTTCCTAGAAGAGGGGAAGAGGGGTATAAATAATGGGAGTTAGGGTTTGGGTTTGAGTCCACATACAAACTAATGGGCCGGCCCAATAGACTGGGCTGCCCCTAAAAATAAGTATTTAATACTTGGTAAACGGGCTTATCCAACAGACTGGACCGCTCCAATTAATATTATACAAAGACCGCATACCCCCTGTCAAGGGTATCCATCAGACATTATTGATAAGTCTTGTTGACAAAAACTTTTAAAAATAATTTTACATGAAAATAGAGACATCTATGTCAAATTTGACAAATGTTTTAGATGAATTTAAAATTTGACTAAAAAATGTGATGGTACTCCTAGAGCTCGAGGCCAAATGTAAAAATAATAATTTAGACATTATTGACAAGTCTTTCTGACATGACACTTTTACAAATCATTTTTTATGCGAATAGAAACATCCATGTCAAATTTTGCTAATTTTTGGATTGATTTAAAATTTTGCAAAAAAAATGTGATGGTACACCTAAGAGCTTGAGGCCAAAACTAAAAAAATAATAATTATTTCATTTTTGACAAGTCTCTTTGACATGAAACTTTTGCAAAGGATTTTACATGGAAAAAGAAACATCCATGTTAAATTTGGCAACTTTTTTGATGTATTTAAAATTTAACCAAATAATGTGATGGTACCCCTAGAGACCAAAACTAAAAAAATTATAATTTAGACATTATCTTTTTGGCATGAAACTTTTAGAAAGGATTTTACATGCAAATAGAAATATCCATGTCAAATTTGGAAAATTTTTTGATGAATTTAAAATTTGGGCAAAACATGTGATGGTACCCTAGTGCTCGACGCAACAACAACAATAACAACAACTCAGTTGAATCCCACCACAGTAGGGTCTGGGGAGGGTGTGTGTACGCAGACCTTGCCCCTACTCGGAAGTAGGGAGGCTGTTTCTAAGAGACCCTCGGCTCCAACTGCACAAAAAATATGATAAGAATCACAGTATAACACAGATTACTGTGATTCTTATCATATTTTTTGTGCAGTTGGAGCCGGGGGTCTCGACGCCAATATTAAAAAAATAATAATTTAGACATTATTGACAAATCTTTTTTACATGAAACTTTTAGAAAGGATTTAACATGAAAATGGAAACATCCAAATAAAATTTGACGAATTTTTTGATGAAATTAAAATTTGGCCAAAAAATGTGATTGTACCCCTAGAGCTCGAGGCCAAAACTAAAAATAATAATAATTTAAAAATTATTGAGAAGTCGTTTTGATATGAAACTTTTACAAATGATTTTACATATAAATAGAAAAATCTATGTCAAAATTTAAAACATTATTTAATTCGTTATTGAAGAGTCTTTTTTACATGAAACTTTTGCAAAAGCTTTTACATGCAAATAAAAACATCAATGTCAAAATTTAGAAATTTTTTTGATGAAACTTTATTATTATTATTATTATTTATTATTATTATTTATTATTATTGTAGTATTAAAATTTGCTACTAGACATGAAGTTTTGTGTCAAAATATTATTTGTGGCATCATAAATTTTTTACTAAATATGTTTTTTGTAGCAAATAATAAATTGTGTCAAATAAAATATGCCACCAAAAATGAGCTTTTGTGGCAAAGTTTTATTAGGGGCGAATCATGATTTGTCACAAAAATTATAATCTTTGTGGCAAATTTAAATTTGCCACAAATAACTTTTGTAATAGGGAATCTGTGGTAACCTTGTGGCGAATTCAAAAACTGCTACAAATAGTTATTGTGGCTAATTTTTTATGTTTTGTGTCAAAATTTTGTGCCACAAAATGTCAAGTTTTTTGTAGTGAATGGCTCGGGACTTTTCTTTGTTGGCAGGATTTTATACAATGAGAATCAACACTTTGTTGGTTCTCATTGTATTAGTTTGTGAGAGTTTTCATTTCCATGCTAGCTTTAGCATTTTTTGGGGATCTATGTAGCAATTTGGTTTTGGAGACTCCCAACGCATAAGTGGTTTTAGGCTTTTTTGAGGTTGTAATGTAGCCACCAATACTTTAGACAATTCGTCATTTCATGGATTTGAGTTATTATACTCTAGCTTTGGGTATTACACTCCATGCCCTTATATCTTTCATTCTTATTCTAATAAAACTGTTTATTGAAGAAAAATATAATATGATCAAGATTTTGTAGAAATTTTAATTTGTAAAATTTATAAAGTATCACTAGTATTGGCTTTGCCACAATTAGCTAATAGTTGTAGCGATAAAAATTTGTTACTAAACATTAGTTTTTGTGGCAACATAAATTTGCTACTAAACTTTAGCTTTTGTGGCAAAATACAATTTGTGACAACTGAGTTTTGCCATTAAACATGAGCATTTGCAGCAAAAAACATAATTTTTGTGGCAAATTTAAATTTGCCTCAATTATCTTTTGTAACGGGGTATTTGTGGCAATCTTATGGCAAATTCCAAAATTGCCACAAATTGTTATTGCGGCGAATTATTTTTATTTTGTGGCAAAATTTGGAGCCACAAAAAGTTAAGTTTTTTTGTAGTGATAAAAAGTTTAAAGAATGTAATTTTGAACATACCATTATTATAGTTTTGTCAATATTAGTCTAAAAATGCATATAGAACCTATTTTAGAAGTGTTATGTAAAATGTGCATGTGTTATTTCTCTTTTTTTTTTGTAAAAATATAAGTAACTCATAACGTTGAAATTATATGCACAATATTAGTGCGGTTAGATAAATCTCTTGAAAAGATGATCAATGACATATTACTTATCAAATGTGTAGTTACGTTTAAGGAATTATAAGCAAAATGGACGTTGCAGTAGAATACTCGCAATTAAATAAAATAATTTTAATAATAAGATAATAATAAAATCCTAAATCTACAAGATTAGGGAAGAAACAAAGCCTCCCCAACCTCTCTATATATATTTACAAAATACGGAGTATGAACCGGGATTGGGGGGGAACACCTCGTCCACCTCTGTTCTTGTAATTCAATTGGTTCATTTTCTTAATTTGTTCTATTATTCAAGGTGAGTTTGTAGATTTGTTTTATCATTAGTATTCACATACACATTTAAAAAAAAGGAGTTCACATACACACCATATTTTGCAACTTTTTGGATGGTTAAAACTTTGGCCAAAAACACGTGGTACCCAAACACGTACCATTTTCCAAATAATTTAAATCAAACATTATTTAAAAATCAATGTAAAACGATGCTGAAGCTCAAGTAATTAATTCAAAACACAATTTTGATTCATGCGCAAAAAAGTAACAAGTTCAAATGGAATCCTTCATAAATCACAATCGGCCAAGCATCTCATTCTCGCTGCCTTCCAAGTTTGGTTCCAAGTTCATCATTCTTGTTACCTACGTGTAGCAAGTAAAATAAATTACACGATCATCATAAAGCAAAGTGAGAAAACTCTGAATACATAATGGCTTACCTTCATTAGGTTACTAAACCTATCCAGTCAATTCCAATTTTATTATTATGGTGGACCCAGGCAACTTCCATCGAATTGCTACGTTCATCCAGTCATCTACAGTGAATACAGGTCATCTCCATCAGACTACTTAGGCAACCTAGTCAACTAAATTCAACATCCACCAATTATATACCGCAAATTATTATACAACCGACTATACCCAAAGTTGGGTACAACTGGCCTAAAACTGAAACAATTACTGCAAATAGGCATGCGATTACTGCGGCAAAAAAAGCTGACGAAGAGGAGCAATTGCTGCGACCAGTGATTTTTGAGAGGAGAGGCACCGATGAAGGGAGGGCAACTAAGGCCTGCAATTTTGGATCGAATAAGATGCTTTGTGGAAGGAGAGGCCGGCTCCACGTGACATATGAATGTGGCATCTGCAACCCTAGCAGACGACCGACGGTTCTTTTGTAGAAGATGGAGTTTGTCCCCCCTCCTCGCCGTCGTCCTAGTTGGTGGCACTAGCATCAATGCAATATGAAGAATACAAGGAACATGTTGCAAAGATAACTGCTTGCTCCTCATATTTTTTACTATAAGTTATTTAGAATGAGTTCTATTTTGCTACAAAATGAATACTAAGTTGTTTGAGAATGAAAACTACGTTATTCGTAAATGAATATTATAACTATATTGAATAAATGTGTGAAGATAAGTACTACCTTATTTCAGAATAAGTACTACTATAAGTTATTTAGAATGAGTACTACTCTACTTCAAATGAGTCATACCCGGCTGTATCTATCTCTAGGTACAAACGGTTGTACCATATACCTTCTCATTATATATACATCAAACATGCTCAAGAATTCAAGTCAAGATTTAAACAAATGAATTTATCATCATGGTATTCACAAAAATAGCCACGCATAATTTCTAGACGGCAAAGACCCAGTTCAAACTTCAAACCCATACATATAAACTTAAACATATGCCTTGATCGATTCATCATAATCAGAGTCCCATCCCCTCAATTGCAGATTTCAATTTCTCAAACAAATCAAGAATACACACATCCATATATGTCTCACTGTATTTGTCCACTTTTCTTCAATGGCAAGTATAATATCATGAAAAGTCTTTTATACTCTCCCCTCTCCTTCTAGACCTCTCTCTTCTCCATCTTTCCATTTCGCGTACCCCAGTCTTCTTTCTCCGATTCTTTATTTCCTTTTTTCTTCTCCATCCACTCTTCTTCTCCGATTCCACTTCTCCTCCAAATCTTTTTCTTCTTCTTTTTCCGATTCTCTTGCCTCCTCCCTATCTTCATCTCCAATTCCATCTCTCTCCCAAACATGTCTTTCGATTCTCCCTCTCGTCCAATCAAACCTTTTCTTCTTCTGATTCTCTCCCTTCTCTTAATTTTCGTCCCTATTTCCACAGATCTGAGGAGCACAAGAGACGTCCTGCAAATCCCGTGAAGATCTATTGTCCTTCTCTAGTTTGTCAGGATATATGGTGTGGGGGAGGGTTGTACGGAAGTGGCACGTGGTTGGATGGTGGAGGATGTCCGAGGGGTGTGGTGTTGTAATGGGCTGGAGCGTGGGGTGGCGTTAGGAAGTAAAGGGTTTCTGTTTTTCCAAGGGTAATAATTAAGCCATTTTATTCATTACCTTGGTTTTTGGTCCCAAAAGAATGTGGACAAAGAGAGTAGACTGGAGGGAGTATATACATCTAGACCCGTAACCAATTATGGATTCTAACAATAGAGGAGTCCATGTACTCGCCTCAATAAGTAAATAAATAGAACGAAACAAATGAGCAAACGAGGAGAATGAATTGGCGGACGGTGGCAATCAAACAAGCAAGAATGCAACAACTCTATATATACGTTACTCGTATGCACCCGCAGTGGAGGGTATATGTTCTATACTGGAGTAGCAGCTAATTTGTACCTTTGCCGGGCTGAAATGGGCCTAGGTGAGTTAGGACGCATTAGTGTTTGTGGAATGATTTTGACCACCTATTTGTGTCAGCGGCAATTGATACCCTGACCTAGAAGGTAATGGTACAAGGTTCAGGCTTTATTTCATCAGCGTCCCTCACAACGGTTTCAGGTGTGCGTGTCATCGATTAATTGTTTCTCTAGTTGGGAGTGATGAAGTTCGCATGATGTCCATTCTGTCAGTCCCTACGGTTTATAGGAGGCATTTTGGGATGGAAAATGCAATATAAGTTCTTAAAATGCTTTACGTGGATTTAATATTTCTTGTTGTTTATGTGATTCAAATAATATGAGGTATAGTTTTGAAGGGATATAAACTAATAATATAACAGCTTCCTAAACCTTCTTACATAATGAAAATAATAAAGAAGTAAATTAAATAAATGATTCTCACAAATTTATTCAAATACTAATAGATACTAAGAAGGCCCTTAACGTAATAATTTACCTTAAACTAAATCTTGTTGATAAGGTCTCGTGTGTCCTCATAACTCTGCTTTGGAAACATCATCTCGCATGTGATCAACAAAAGACGTGTATGCCATGATTATTGACTCGTAAACACCAACGCCTTTCAAATATTCATCTTTGTTCAGAAACTGTGGAATTATGAATACAATACAAATTACAATTGAGGGTATATAAAAACCTGCAAGAAATAAAAAACAGTACTAGTATATACATATGCTGCAGTATATATGTACAAACACAGGCCCCATTTCTATATATATGTAATGATTTATTTTTTAAAATAATTGTATAACCTCGTGCATAACTCCACAAGTCATTATGACGTCTAGTTTACAAAACATTTTTTTCAAACTGCTAATACATCTATTTGTCAAAGTATGGTTCATATTATAAGTTGCAAATCAAATGAAATAGAAGTATATTATAAAAGGTGTTACTTACAAAAGAAACCATATTAAGAATAAAACAATGGGTGTGCCTCAAAAGTCAAAATAGATCTTATTAACCAAGAGTCCACGAGTGTAGTTTATAGAAACAAAAGTGCTAACCTCATTGTGGTCGTGAAGGAGAACCGGAGTGTTTGCCATGGGAGAAAAGCCAATAGCTGTAAGACCTCTCTCTCTAAAGTAACGTGCATCTGTCGAGGCAGGAAATATTTCTGGTTTCCCGAGTTTCTCTTTCGCAACCTTGATAGCTTCCTCAAATAACGTCCACCAAATATTAGAACTGTCTGTAGCTGTAAGTGCAGGTTTCCCAAATTTATCGTGTATGGATACTTTCACCCTGAACTGGTCAAGTTACAACAATGATAAGAATGATTGGAAATTTTGAAAGCATATGTGTGGTGTGCCAAATATACATGTCTTTTCACTAAAGCTAATGGATGAAATGGTTTTCATTAGCATTGGAAATTTGAGAAACTCTCCCACGTAATGTTAAAAAATTATGGCTCTTATGTCCAAGTGTTATTATCTTTTCTGTGTAGATTTTATATTCCAAAAAACACTTGACATTCTAGTACTTAAACTTCTATTACTCCGTATAAAGTATAATTTTCTACCCTGGTCGAATTCCATATAATATATCACCTCTATCCTACAGTATAAATAAATAATCCTTCTATCGAAGTAGGTTCTTCCCATGGCGAAGAGCGATGCAGCTTCTACCAAGGGAGAGTAGATCTCGGGTCCGTTTGGGAATAGTATTTTCGATTAGCGTTAGGGAATTTACCTATATAGTACTAAAACATAGTAAGTTTCCAATGTAATACCATATGTATTAATTTCTCAATTTAGTACCACTGTATTCAATGTCCACTGGATATCGTTCAAGTAAATATCCACCGTCACTGAATATTTTTAAAAGTAAATGTCCACCGTCACTTGACATTGTTCTCGCCACTAGCCGTTGTTCAAATACTATTTAGGAAATAAAAAGTTTAGATACTACATTGGGGAAAAACATTTGTTTTAGTACTATTTAGTGCAAATTTCACTTGGTGGGTTGGAATGTTTTCTAGGTTTTTCTTTGAGATGATTGTGGGGTTTACCGTTTACAATTGAGCTCCAGGTTAAAAAAATACGGAAGCGACGAGTGAAGGGCGAGTATGGTAGCGGCTGCAAGAGGTTCAAGAGAATGAAGAGGAAATAGTTGGACTGGAAAGGAAATAAATTGGTGTACTTTTAAGGGCAAACATGTCTATTTCATTTTATTTATATTTTTGGAAACGAGAAGAAATATATGGGACGGCCCAAAAGCAAAACGGGGAAAAACATATGAAGTGATGGGAATATTAAATTGCCAGAAAAAAATGCTATTTCATTTTATTTATATTTCATTTTATTTATATTTCATTATAAGTTATATATTTTGTGCTTGTTTTAGGTGACAGACACATATATGGCTTCAGATACCTCAAAGGTCATGTTGCGTGAAGCAGGTGCCCATTCCTCAGCAATTTGCCTCTCCAATGAGGCCTGATCAGCAGTCGGTGGAACTCGAACATCAAAGCCTGCTTCGGCTTCAGATGGCTGCAAGTTCATGACAAAGCCCTGTGAAAATGGAAAGGAAATCATATAAATTTACAGTAGCAATCAATGTAAGATGCAAATCAGGTCAGTCCACTTTGACATAAGATGATCATCCCAAAAAAAAAATAATCAAGACAGAGCTCTCCATGAGGGGAATAAAATACTACTCCGTAGTAGAAAACGCAACAGTGTGGCATCATAACTGGAGAACAACTGCATAGCCAAACTGAATACACTTGGCCCCATTGGAGTGATTAATTACACACCCCCAGCAGGGCTCTGCAGAAAGAGGTTATGAACCAGATCTACATGGATCCATCCCATAAATATAAAAAAAAATCAGGGACTTTTACATTGGGGGAAGGGGTGCCAGCTCTCAGGAACACCATATTGACAGAGATGACCTCTCCTTCAGCCTTCAGGCCAGCCTTGACCAAGTCGAACTGAGCAGCTCTGAACCTCCTTATGCTTTCAATGCTCTTAAAAAGATTCTCCATAGCAGTATTGTCATAGAGCTTGGCACCGTGACCGGGGGCCCCAATTGCCTTGATAACCAGCCACCAAGGGGACCTCTCACCGTAGAAGGCCCGGTAGTTACCCGTGGGGGAAGCCAAACCTTCGTCCAGCACAACCCCAACGTTCATCTCCCGAAAGATGTCGGAGTTTGCGAATTTCTCCGCCCCGTCCTGGCCGCCGATTTCCTCGTCGGGAACGAAGGAGAGGTAAACAGTGCGGATTGGACGGAATCCTGAATCCTTGAGGCTGCGGATAGCTTCCAGGTACTGGAGGCCGACACACTTCATGTCCTGGGAGCCCCTGGCATAGATGTTGCCTGTGGTGTGATCGAGTTGGGCGCCAAAGGGAGGGTGAGACCACTTGTGAGGCTCGGAAGGGACGACGTCGGTGTGGGAATTTAGAAGGATAGAGGGGAGGGGAGGGTCCTTGCCGGGCCATTTGAGGAGGACTAGAGGCTTGCCCTTGACGAATTCTATGGTCTGGGCTTCGAGGGACAGGGACTTGGCCTGGGAGATGATGAAATCAGCCGCTTCTCCGTAGCGCGGATTGGGTTGGGCTGTGTCGATTCGGAGGTACTCCTGGAATCTCGATATGATTTCTGCCGCTGCAGCCGGCGAATATCCACTAGCTGACCCCTTGTTTACCACCGAAAGCACGGAGAGCAGACAGACAAAGAAGGATTGGGCAAAACCTGCTGGACCAGACGCAGAATGCTCTCCTCCGCCACTCATTCTGCTTCCGTTCGCCGGCGGCGTCTGCCTTCGGATTGACTTTATCAGTGTAAGTGTAAGCAGTTAACCACTTTATCCTCCCTTTAACTTGGAATTTTTTTAAAACAAAATGACTATATGTTTTTATTTCTCAATGTTAGACCATTTGTCATTATCCATCATTAATAAATATCTATCGAACATTATTCCTTCCACTAAACATTATTAAGTTCACATTAGGATATAATTTACTCTCTCTGTCCCACAAAAAAGTTCCCATTTTGAATAGTATGTAGTCAAATGTTAACACACTTTAACTACAAATTATAAGAAAAATATATTGAATTATAAAATAAATTTAATATAATTGGATTCATCTTAGAATCTAGTTTTGATACCTCAAATTTTTTTAACATTTCTTTATTTAGATTATATTTAATTTATGGTCAAAACGTATAATTGTTTAACCAATTTATAGTCAAAATAAGAACTTTTTTGTGGGACGGAGGGAATATGTATTAATCCTATTTAGTGCATAATACAGTATTGTACTTGATGATTTGTCAGTAAATCAAATGCCCCTCCGGTATTACATGTTATTTTTGGATAAACCAATATATTTACATGTTACCTAAAAAACAATCGATTTGTCTATGGACAACAATACCACCTTTGACCCACTTTATTTGAGGATTTTCAGCACCATATGGAGGAGAGCATTCTGCGTCTGGTCCAGCAGGTTTTGCCCAATGAGGGAGTTCTTCACTTCCTCAAATATTAATGAGGGAGTTCTTCACTTACAAATATGTGCTGCCATGTAAAAAAGAAAAACAAACAAACAAACATGTGGTGCTGGCAACGTACGTTTTGTTCGTTGACTGATTGTTATTTTCTTTCGGATAGCAGTGTAGCAGGACGATTATGGCATCGGCATTTGTTAGACAAAATTTCAGCCCGTCTATAAATATGGTCCTCCGGCTAGTAGAAATATGTACTAATTTACAAAATGGAATTTCACATTTTCACTATTATTAATGGGCCTATGCACAAACGAAACACGCCACTTAGAACTTGCTGAACTTCTCCAGAACTATGCTCACTCCGGACAAGATCTACCAACAATGGAAACAGCTGCGAAGCGTACTTTTTGAAAGTATCACCTTCCAAAGCACTCAATACATGTAATACGGAAAGAACTAAAGGAGTCCTAGCCGCCAATTCTTCCTTCTTGGCTGAGCCCAAGGGAAGAATCCAGTGAAGCTTCCGCTGCTGCTTGTTGCTGCCTGGTTGCTGCTGCTGCTGCAACCCCCCAGCAGCACAATCCAAGTATATCCGCAGGACTCTCTCGCATACAAACACAAGTTCTGCTTCTATATTTTTCTCCTTGCCCAATGCTGGGTAATTAACGAGCAAATCGTGCAGGAAATTGATGTAATTCTGAAATGACTCGTTTTCAAAGTGCAATAATGGTGGTTCTGGGATCTCCAGTATTGAGCACGCTCTCTGCAGCTTCAATTCTAGGATTCCATCCGACTTTAGCTGGTGAGCATGAGAGGTGATAGATGAATAAATCCCAAGAAGGATTGTTACAGTGGCAGCACTCAGTGACTGACGGCGCATCTTACAGAGATCAGTAGCTACCTACAAATTGACAGAGTAGAGAAAATTACACAACATATTCTCAGAAAATTCCACTAAAAAAACGTGTCTAAGAATTTACTTACAAAGGGAAGCATGAGAAATCACACAAATGACAAATGAGAAGCTAGATTAAGATATGGAATGTTCTAAAGAATTTGCACATACGCATATACTAAAACCATACCTGCAAAATGAGTAGTTGTGTACCTATATGACCTTTCATCCTTGATACAACATACCCAACCATTTGCAGATTGTCACCCTCATAGTCATTAGATGACCCAACTTCATCTGATGATTCCACATCATTATTGGACTCGCTAATATCAGACATATCAAAGCTGCTCATTGTTTGCAAGAGCTTTAAGAAATTGGGCACACTAGAAGCAGCAGCATCTTGCAAAGCAAGAAAGATCTCTTGCCACTCCTCTTCTGAAAGCCTGCCTCTCAACTCACCAGCCAAATGCATTAGTGAAGATACACCAGTACTTGCAGGGCCTTGGCCAGGACTTCTTATAAATCCCACTAGTATTGACACTACGCCAGGCAGCTGAGACCTGCCCACATCAAAGAAATTAATGAATAGATCAGCCAGGCATTGAGCCGCCACTGCAGAAGTTTCAGAGTCCCACAACTGTCTATCCATTTGCAAAGATCCAGATCTTGGGGAAGATTGGTAATCCTTAAATTCTGCTTCAGTTTTATCACGAGCAGAATTAAATATTGGGAAGATGACAGAATTGAAAACACTATCCCAAAACAAGTGAGAGAAGAGATGGCCATGGTCTTTTAAAATATTAAAGAGAACCTCAAGAGCACTCTTCCTGATGGCCAACCGAGGGTCTGATGACAGACCAGATAATCCTGAGATTGAAAATAATAGTGTCATTAAAAATAATTATAGGGGTACCCAGACGAAAAGTTCAAAGCAACAGATTTCTTAAAAAATGATGCATAGTAATCAAAAGAAAAGTTAGAACACCACGAGATTAACAATAATACAGATAACGTCTCTGCATGGAGTAAAATGTAGAAGACACAAAGGTGATTGAATATAGCAAATAGAAAATAAAAAATGCAGACACCATAAGATTCTTGAATCATTTTGCCAGCTAAATGGTAACCCCACACCCCCACCCACAAAATCCCTAAAACTCAGAGAACACTACCTGTGAGTAGAGGATGCCAGAACGACATGTAGCCATCTTCTTTTGTGGAACATTTTACATCTGAAGTATTGTTGTTTGCTGCCTGAATAGGCATATCATTTTCTACACTTTTCTCATTGCAAACAAGTCCTCCATCTGCAAGTTTGACAGCGCAGAAACGGAGAAAAGCAATTGCGTTGAGGCTAACATCGCTATTAAATCTACTGTTTGTGAATGCAATAAGGCATCTGACACAATCAGTGAAAGTTACAGTTTCTGTTTCAGTTATGTAAGGAAAATATTCTCGTACAATCTTTTCCATGGTTTCAAAAGCTAGTAACACTATGTTCTTCCTTTCATCAGCAGCAGCAGCAGCAAACACCTGAAAAGTGGACATTTAGACAAGCATTAGTTCAAGCTTTAGAAGAAATGAAATAACCAAGAATCAAGAATGAGTATTTGAACAA